CGTACATTAGAGTCCTGAGCAGGGGGGATGGAGAGGGTCGTACTTGCTCGCTGGGGAGAGGAGGGGGTGCAGACTCGCTTGGAAAGAGACCTAATGCATTGGGTACATTTTTTTCGGTTGTTTACCTTTCGTGCTTTTCGCTTTTCACATGTGCTATATGCTGGAATTTTGGGGAAAAACTGACAACTCACTAAGAAATGTCGTTAGAAGTGTAATAATGTTCGGAAAAGTTGGCAAGATAATAGGTAGGGGAAGCGAAGGGGAGGGTCGTATTCAGGTTGTCCGGAAAGTTCTCAGCGTTTTGGGTGTTTCACTTTAAACGATCGTAACTTTTTTAATACTCATCGGATTTAATCGAAATAGGCACCATTCGAATCAGCACACTTTTGCCAATGTGACAGCAGTCGAGAAATCCCATCAAAGTAAAAAACTGGTGGTCGAAAATTCACGAAATCCACGAAGGCTTTTTTGCCTGGTCCTGATTGATGAAGTATTTTCCAGCAAGGGAGTTCTGAAAATGTTAGAAAAGGTGATAGTCGGTTGGCGAAAGGTCTGAAGAATATGGCGGTTGAGGTAGAACTTCAACCCCCAATTCGTTCAATTTATGGATAGTGATTTGTGAAACGTGTGGGCGGGCGTTGTCATGCAAAAGAATCGGACCCTTTCTTTTGATAAGTGTTGGCTGCATCTGAAATTTTCGGTACAATTCGTCGATTTCTTCACAGTAGGGTTCTGCTGTGATGGTTTGGCCTGGTGATAAAAAGTTATAGTGGATCACACCAGCCGATGACCACCAAGCCGTGACCAGAATCTTTTTTTCGTGAGGGTCGGCTTTGAAAATTACCTCGGTGGTTCGTCGAAATCCAACCACTGTCCGGAACGTCTCCTGTTATCATACATGACCCATTTTTCATCACAGGTGACAATTCGGCCCAAAAACAGGTCGTTTCTGCTGCGCAAAAGCAATGCAGAAGGAACCTCGAGACGTGCCGATTCCTGATTGTCGAGTTTTTTCACCTTCCCAATGCGTTCCAGACCATCTGCAACAGTGGATTTGCCAAGGCCTAGCTCTTCTGCTATCTCTCGAACTGTTTGGGATGGGTCAGCCTCCAAAATCCCCCTAAAATCCTCGTCAGATATTGCTTTAGGTCCGCTATGAGGTTCATCTTCAAGGCTGAAATCTCCAGAACGAAATTTGTTGAGCCATTGCCGCACAGTGCTTTCTCTAGCACTATTGGGCCACACCTGGTTAATTTGTTGAGCTGTTTCGATTGCGGATTGCCCCAATTTATAGTCGAAGAAAAAAATCGTCCGAAGTGCTCTTTTCACATGCTTGAAAAAATCTTGAAAAAAAGGGGTTTATCAAGCAATGGTGAAACGGCAATTATACCATCAGATAGCGCAAGAAATTCTCTACAGGATGTGCTACTGAGAAGCAAGGCAGAATGAGTTTTTAATCAGCAGTGAATGTACAAAAAATAGGTGCACAAAACGCTGAGAACTTTCCGGACAACCTAATAGCAAAGGACGGAACCGCGGGGTGTCGTACTTCCCGAAAATTTTCCCCGCTTTAAGACGTGCTGTAATCATTGTTACTCCCAAGCTGTGAGTTGAACAAGGGCTTTTGCGTGATCATTTTGATATGTTGCTTTCTGATCCCATCATGACGTAAGCTCATCATGCTATCCCTTCGAAGGCAGTCGGCACGATAATTTGGTACTTATGGTTAGCCTAAAATGCAAGCAGGGCGCTATCTAGAGGGAAAATGGCGAAAAAACGAAGTGAAACGGTCGAAAACTGCGAAGAAAAAAAACCTTCGTTCTTGAAAAGCAATTTCGGACGAGTTTTCCATAGGCATATTGCAAATAACTGCTGCCGTAGGTACGGCTGCATGACTGCAGCCGCTTCATACCAATCCCTTCGCTTCATATTTTACTTAGCAAACGAAGCAAAACAAGCATTGGGTACGGTCGTCCATTGGGCGGGCGGCGTGGTAGGCGTTCAGCTGTGTATGTTGTAGCTTGATATCACCCTTCTAAGGGTACGTCCCTAAGAAGAACCTCTGCGCAAGGTCGCGGAGTCCCGCCCTGCCAGGCGTATCAATCATCGCCTTTAGGGTATTATCGTGCCAACTGCCTTTGAAATTAGAGAAGAATAGTAGATCGAAGGGTCGGTTGAAACGAGCGGGCAATTTCTGAAGCGCTTTTGCGAAGTGATTACGAATCGTCTTCCATATATGCTGCGGATGCTCAATGTTTCCGAGTTATTCTAGAAGGAGAGTAACGACATTCAATGCGATTTCTAGCCGCAGGGCTGCTTCGAATGTGGCGCCATAGTTCAGCGGTATTGTGGTTCGTCTCATATCTGCAATCACTCACTATATACCACGGTATTTCCAATAGAACACTTTCCGAATCAAATCGGGCAGACTTTTCACACTGGGCAGTTGACAACTAGACCACATTAGGTGCTGCTTCAAGCCGCGAGTACACCCGCCCACTTCTCAGCGTGTTCAAGTTTTTTTTTCCAGAATTCATTCTGAGAGTGCTGTTCCTCTGACTTTTTTGCACTGTTGATGGGCCGCACGTGCACTCTTGCTGAAGAATATTGATATCGACACAGGTGCGACCCCGCCCACTTCATAATGAAATTATGGCAAGCTCGCATTGCTCCACCTTCCCTGCCCCAACCACGCTCACTTTTGCGTCTTCCTGCAAAGTTCTAATCTTTTTTTTGAATTTTCGCCTTTTTAGGCTGTAACATGTAGCCCCGCTCTTTGCCAGAAGCTCCAGCCACTTTTAATATGTGATCAAGAGTGGTAGGTTGAAGTCTCATCTAGCAGATCAGAGTCTCCTCGTAACACCGGAACGAAACATCAGTGGAAGTTTGTTCCAAGGGTCGAGGGGAGACCGTACCGTGCCTGTTCTTGCTCTAGTCCGCCGATCGGGACCGTTTTCCGGAAGTGGGTCAAGGCGTGGGCTGGGCTATCTATTGCAGCTTGAGAGTTTTGAGGAGCATCCTTAATTCCACAAAAAAGCGCAAAAGTGGGCGCGGCCAGAGAGGTGCGGTTCGCAGTCCCAGTGTCTAATTGCATATCCAAGGTACGTTCGTCTTGTGGCGGATGAATGTGGAGAAACTCAGAACTTGCGTTAGTTCCATTGAAAGTAACCGGAGTCATACCTATGTCGATACCAATTCTTTTCACTGAGAGTGTATGTGGAAGATAGCAAATGTGCAAAGAAGCCGGAGGAACACAGTTCATAAAATGGTTTTCGATGACCATGATCGCGCTGGGGCGATGCTTGCAGCAGTACTTAGTATGGCATAATTGTCATTGCCCAGTGTAAGCGGTGTGTCCGACTTGGTTCGAAAAGTGTGAAAAAAATGAAAATGCTATTTGTAATTTGCCACGTCCGTCTGTTTGCTTGTTGTGCTTGTTTGTCAGGGGATTCGCTTCTACCTGAAGAACGACTTAGAGAGGTTGGGTCAAAGCTGGGATGAGTAGAAGTAATACATGGGACAAAATGTATACAGCACTCAGGACTCGCGCTGAGCCCCGCCCTCGAAGGGTGGGGCCTGCATTGAAATTTAGCGTTTTTAGAGTGTATTCACACATAATTCGGCTCCAGTGGAGCCCCGAGGTGGGGAAAAGGTGGAATGAAGTTAGCAAAGGGCTGACAGAATAAATGGCGAAGACGCACCCGGAATGAATGTGGTGACTTGAGATGGACGGTGCTTCCCATGAACTTCTATAAATGAATACTCAAGATTGCTTAGTGGTCGCAAAAAAGTTCATGAAAAAGAAAAGCACATGGCAAGGTCGGGCATATTTTCCGAGTGCTGAGACTGGTCCATACCGGTAAGTGGATTAAAGTCAGTAGTGAGTCACTAGTTGAAAAGTGCGAAGCACGTACGTTGTGGGCGGAGCGTGCGCTGCGGTGGAAGATGCTCAGCGCGAAGACCTGTTAAATTTTCAGAGCACTCCGGACACTGACAAAAGGTGAACAAAGGTATGCAGGAGCTCGGCTAGTGAAGTGAGGCAGACACACTCATTGTTGGCGGAGCATGTGTTGAGGTAGGCGGGGCGAATGTCGAAGATTCACGAAAGGTTGCAGAGCAGCAAAAACACTTGGGCAAGTGGATTGAGGTCCGCGAGGGGTTAGTGAGAGAATTGGAGGACATCCTAAAGTGGACTAGCCGTATTCGAAATAAGAGGCTTTTGCTACAAAATTTCATTATTCGGACCTCAATTAAAGGCACATTCCGCGATAAAATAAGGCTATGACCTCTCAAATGTGTCGGACGATCCGGAAGGCGATTTTTGAGGCTGCGCTACTTTCAAAATGTGAAAAACGGCAAGAACTCCGCTAGAAGCTGACTAATTAGGCCCATGGACACCCCTTAGGCCCATGCCGACCCTCACCGGCTGCTAGCTACTAGCTAGTAGCCACTATGTTATCTTTCTCTATAACATTTCGGACTGCTTTTTCTGCTGCTTTTCTCCGCTAATCAGATACTTAGCACTTTTTTGTGCCTATTTGAGTTCCGTTTCCCGCAATTTGCGGTCGCGAACTGTGCCTTTAATTTGGAGATCAGGAAATTGTTTTGGAAAGGAACATATGGCTAAAGTTAAGGGTGTCTGTGGTTTGTTCAGACCGGCCCGCAGTGGACGGAGCGTGCCCCAGGCACGAGGTACATATTTTGACTGAGTTTCAGTGCATAGGCATCCTTACTTGTGACCACCGGTCATGTAGGTACATTTGATATTCCGATTATAATTTGATGCAACTCATACGGAGCAGCTTTATGGCCAGAATTCGTTCCAAATTGTGGATATGCTCTAGCCCTCTGTACCCAGGATCCGCAGCAGATGTTAAAGACAGACTTTTCGTAAACGCCCAGAAACACATCAGAAGGTATTCATCTCATACATTTTGTTTCTCAAACGCACTGCTAACGACTTGCAATCGCAAATTCGTCTTTAAATAAACTTCTAAATAATGTCCTTGTCGAAAAGGTAGCTTGCGATGTTTAGAGCTCCAATCACGGCCACCTCTTACTCAGTCATCTGTCAGAGCTCCACAACGATTCTCAGTTATGTGATGTGACCCTGAAAGTCGAGGTATGAAAACTGAGATGTTGGATGATTTCTTTCACATAATCATTAGAGAAATAGTTTAGGGGACTCGAATCAATGCTCATCGAGTTGTACTCTCTGCTTCCTCCAGATATTTCAAAGCTATGTTCACAAGCGATATGGCTGAAAGCCGTATGAGTGTGTTTGTCAAGACTGTAGTGTCCAAAAGAATTCGCCGAAATGGTTTCCCATGTGGTTACTGCCATATCGGTGGTTTCGAAGGTCAGGAACGGGTCGTAACACTTATTTTTAATGAGTTTCGCAAAACAACCTCCTTGGCCAAGGTTTTGAAAACCTGTGGATTACATTCGACATCTATTCGCTAGGATGAATGCATTTTTCCCTAATCCGGAGGTGATCCAAGCGCTCATATTTATCAATCTGAAATTATGAAATATATGAATATAAATATATACATAAAATATGTGAACGAAATCAAGACCAGACCAATCATCGCATCATGTGTTGGTCCAGCCGACAGGCTAAGTTGGCTTTTGGTGAAACTTCTTTCACCACTATTGCGATACGTGGGAGCTCACATGGCCAACGTTGATGACTTTTGATGAATTTGTCGCTTCCTTAACCAATGTTCAGTCCAGACATGGCCATGGCCCTTTTACGCTAGCTTTGATGTAGTTTCCTTACATGCGAATGTGAATAAGTGCGGACGCAGTGCAAACTGTGTTAACCCTTCTTGAGGAGCATCAAAACCACATCTCCCTGATGGGATTTTCCGCACACGAAGTAAGTGAACTCATTGAAGCGGCACTGGAATGCAACATTTTCTGCTTCAACAACAAGATCTACAAGCAGAAACGAGGCTTAGCCATGGGCAACCGTATAGCACCGGTGTTAGCAGTCATCTTCTTGGACCACATCGAGAGGTCATCACTAGCACGTGGAATAATATTCTACAAACGCTATATAGATGACGTTTTTGTTATTGGGAAGACAGAGGAAGATCTAGTGGAAACCTTGGAGAGACTGAACTCGCATGATAGAAACATAACCTTCACTAGAGAAGATCCAGGGAGTGATGGCTTCCTGCCATTCCTCAATACAAAAGTTCGGATATGTGAAGGTCGCAAGGAACACCTGTGGTATAAGAAAAGTGCCTCGTCCAATACACTCTTGCATTCCAGAAGTGCCCACCGATTTATATGAAGGCGAACGTCGTGCGAAATCTCGTCAAAGCGAAGGAGAAGACTAGGAAGTGGAGGGATCCAGATGTGGATGCTAAGCTCAAAAACGATCCTAAAAGTAATGGATATTCCGAAGTACCTTCGAGGACCTGGCTTCCACATAGATCAGCAGATGGAATAACCCTCATAATGCCTTTTGTCAACGACAAAATGGCACGTGAGGTGAATCGCGTAGTGAAGAACTCCCAGCTTCCCATACGACTGGTTTTCCGTCCTCCCCACACTGAAAGCCCTCCTGACATCTTCAAGAATCTATGAAAGCCGGTGTCACGAAGAATCTTGCCGATACTGTACATCTGAAAAGATTTGTGAACTCCAAGGCACCGTCTACTTGATACAGTGCAGAGGATGTGGAGAGAAATATGTCGGGGAGACCGCACGACCGTTGAAGAATCGTCTAGACGAGCACAGAAGAGCGCTGACCAACCCCGCTGCTTACCCACGAAGCAGTTTCTCGCGGCACCGTACACTTAGGCACGCGGATGATAATGCTCCGTCCTTCGACGTGAGTGTACTGCACAGACACTTGGTACGACCGCTGGAAAGGAAGATAATGGAAGCGCGGGAGATACATCGCTTAAAGCCAGAAATAATGCAAAAGAGGAGCTACGTGACCTTCCTGAGGCTCATCGCCTAATCATTTGACCCACCCATGTGCCTCAATGTAATGTCAGCGCGGGTCATTTTATGTCCCTGCGTTTTTGCAGCTGTTATATGTTAAGCACTGTAATTCACACCATAAGTGAAGAGCTTCAAATACACCTAGCAACATTACCTGGAAGCTCAGAGATAGCACTATCATATTACCAGCCGTAAACTGTTAAAGACAGCTCCCGCGGTAAAAGTGGCAAGAATAATTGCTGATCAATTATGAAACAGTAGCTGATAAATCAGTAGCTGATAAGTAATTCCTCAATGAGGGAAAAAAGCAACAAGAGCCCTCAAGAACACCACAAACGAAATTGCTCCCTTACAGTTACACCGCCCTGCGATCCGTGGGCAACCCCTGGCTCGAAAATCTCTTTATCACATCTCTCAGTAGTGGATATCATCCAATGCAATGAAAAGAATACGAAAAACAATAAAAACTCGGAAGAAAAACTCCTGAGAAAAAATTCTCAAAGACACGGCGTCCGAATTTGGGTTACGGTAGCGAGCGGCTTTTAGTGCATGTTGCTAGTCGAGCTTTTGCACCACAAAAATTGCATCACTCGTGATTTTATGCGTTTTACCTTACGAGATGGTTGCATTTGACTGTATGTGCTCTCAATGAATGAAATGTGATAAAGGAGAGCAGAGTTATCTAAGGGCACCATCGCGGTCTGCAAAAATGACTTGCAATCCCGAGTATTGCCCGCCGTCCCAACAAAGAGCAACTGAGCGGCTCTCCGTCAGAGGGCAGCTAGCAAGTGAGGCGGTCCAACTGAGCGGGCGTTAGAACTAGAACTTTGAGCGGTTGTAGCTCGCTTCTCGCTCACTGTGGAGTTGCGAGAGTGGGACAGCATCTAGCTGGGGCTGACCTACTACAAGGAAGGGTGAACATGGGCTACTCGAGCGCGGGGGCTGTCTTTAAATGAACTCTGAGGCACTGGAACGGGAGCAAGTACAAGAAGTCTGACACAGATAGCAGTGACTGTTCCCAGAATGAAGAGCTGGATTGAGCTCAGTAAGACCTTGACTGAATACCAGACAGCAGCGGATACGTCATCTCCATTCGTAAAGCATGATCGCCGCTGAAGTCATGTCTCACCTTTCTGAGGACAACAGAAAAAGGTGAAAGGACGGTGCTGGTGCCGTTTGATGTTGACTGAATGTGAGCTAACCATATGCTAACTGCGCTTGATGCTCTTGAGTCCAAGAGTTGATTAAGTTTTGCGGCAAGACTTCTTCGATTCACTCCTGCCACACCGATGGTTCTTCCATTGTCTAGTGAGCAGATGTCAAAAGTGATTCAATGGTTTTCTAAACGTTGGCCAAAGCCGTGATTGCGCGGAGAATACTGGAAATGAGTATTACGGGGCGATTCTGAACCTTCAATGCTGTCAGCACGGCACAAATATATTCGCGACTGGATATCTATGCCAGCCTTTTCGATTTCTCGGAGCTCAGTTTTCATCTGGGTCACCAAAAAGGTCTTTCTGATCTGGCTCTAAGAAAGAGCGTCGGAAACCTCCTCAGAGTCAAAAAGTTTTGAGTCTCGTTGTATCCCTGCTGACAAATAATTACATCGTAATTTGTTGTTGTAATGTGAGCACTACTCACCTTATTTGACACAAGTACTGCTTTCCACTTGCAACATAAAAATGTACACCATCAAAATTTGTAGCGACGTCAGTTGATGAGAAAGTTGCACGTGAAAAACCGTATCGGCGACTTCTTTTATCGCTACGTAACATCATGTATATTGCTCTGATCAGTTTCTCTTAACAAATGTGCTTCTTGCAAAGGTGGGTTGTACCCATTTTCTCACTATGGCTTTTCTTGCAGAAGAAATCGAGATAAAGGATGTGGAAGCTTCGGCGCTGGTTACTCTCATTGGTTTCTGCTACTCTGGTAAGATAAAAATCAGTAACCGTAACGTCATGAGCGTACTACCTGCTGCCTGCCTGCTCCAACTGGACGAAATTCAGGTCAGATTGCTGATACTACGCCGGGAAAAAAAGGCCCCATTGCTCTTGTGTGCTTTCAGCAGTTGTTTCCAGCCGGTGCAAATGCTAACTGGAACATTTAGAAAACCCTGCAATATAGGGAAGGAAACTCTAAAATTCCAAGATTGTTTTGATATATTAGGCAACCAAAAAAGTTCGTGCGGTTTTGAAGGTAGCGAAATAATAACATAAAAACGGGTTAAACTTAGATTTATTCCGAAAAATAATTACCCTCAGCAAGTAATACACTTTCCCATTTAGACACAAGAGCATATATTCCATTTTTGTAAAAATCTTGCTTTTGGGAATTAAAGAAATGTTTTAGTTCGTTGTCCAAAGCCACTTCATTTTCAAATCGCCGATTCCTCATGTGGTTGTCCAAGGCCAAAAACAAATGATAGTCACTTGGAGCAAGGTCTGGCGAGTACGGAGGGTGAGGTAGAATTTCCCATCCTAGTCGCGCTATTGTTTCCTGAGTGATTCTTGCAGTGTGTGGTCTTGCATTGTCCTGGTGGAAAACCACACCTTTTCTGTTCGCCTTAATTGAAAGTAATCTAAATTAACAAATACACTGAATGACACTCCTTGACATATGTCTTAACATGTATTCAAAGTTACCCTACCACTAGATCCAGTTTACTGAATATACTTCATAAAAGTAGACAATTAAAAAAACCGCACGAACTTTTTTGGTTGCCTAAAAATAATACAGGCAGTATGCCTCACCGAGAAATGCCGCACCAAGCCGACAATCGCATCATTACGCTTTTCTTGCTTATTTCGGCCCTTGCCCCGATGGGTTCCCGATCCATCTGAGTAGATGTGTAGGAGAAACAATTAAGTTCTCATTAAGCCATAAATATCAGCCAGTAATGCTTCATCGACAACTGTCATTTGGAGATCCGATCGACTTGCAAAAATTGAAAGCTTGATAAATGTGCTGAACACACATTGTTCCTGTTTTATATGGACCACAGAGTCGAAATGGTGCCACACCTCCCCACAATGTGTCAAAACGGGAGTCCGATAATACATTCAACGGAAATGAGAATAGTAGGTTCTCTAGCTATTGGGTCAGACCATATGTAAGTAATGGCGTTTTTTGCCGTTCGAAACATTGCGCTAAAGAAGAGAAGTTTGGCCAATGAGTTTTATACCGATTTGCAGACAATTCCTTGCCATACAAGATAGTCTTTCTAGTCAGTTTTCTCGAAGTCTCTCTTTGCAATGATATGTAAGTATATTTAGTCTCAAACTGCAGTGTCAGTTCAACGGAATTGAGCATTTTCGACAGCCTCTTTTTTATACCTCCGATTAAAAAAGTAAATTGGCATGGGCCCACTTGCTAAGTATACGGCTAAAAGGGTATGTCTGTTAGGAATGCTGATAATACTCAAGGTGATTCGAAGATTTCAGTTTCGACCTCACAGACAAGCATCGAATGCCCTATCCTGTCTAAATCAGAGCTTACGGAATTACCATATTAACTGAGAACACACATTCCTCCACTTCACTCTGACAGCGGAAATTCCGTAACCTCTGAGGATATGGAGAAAAGAAATGGAAAAATCGGTGCCTTCCGCTCGCTACATTCTGTTCAGAAAGCATTCGCGATCTGTCCAGACATTGGTAGCATAGCACTGTTAGCAGGGTGTAACTCCGGTAACCTGCTAGTGCTGATTCGAGTGCACATAGAGAGAGTTTTTCATCCTCAATGGAGCGTTACCTCCTTTCCAACCTAATACATGAAAGGCTTTGTGTTTAGGTGTTCAAAAATTGTAAAGGTCATGACGATTCTAGCTCTTTTACTTGTAGGAGAAGTGCTGCGAATATCTAAAGGACAATATAGATCCGTCGAACTGCTTGGGAATTCGAGCGATTGCTGATACATACGCACGTCCTAATCTTCTTGGCTGTGCTAATGAGTACATCTGGAATAATTTTGAGGTCATTGTTTTGCCATGGTAACCTTAGAGTGTGTATTTTCTAATCTGCCACTTGAGTTTGTTGTCAACTCTGAGGAGTTCTATCAACTACCCGTTAAGCAGCTGATTGAGATTATTTCAAGTGATCAGCTCCGTGTCCAGTCGGAAGAACAGGTGCGAAGCTTTTTTTCTTTTGAAAATAAGATTGCATTTCTGCTTATGACTTTTTTTGTTCTCGTTCCTCCGAGAAAACACCAGCAAGTATTCGTTAAGGTTCTTTGCTGCAGTGTTCCAATGGATCAAGTTCGACTTACCAGTACGGGAAGAATTCCTCTCGAAGGTAGATTATGTTCCTTCCCCGTTCTGTACTGTGTAAG